AATCAAATAAATTTGGTACCAAATGAAAAAGGACTAAAATAGCTTTCAAACAGAAATATTTCAACGAAGATTGATACCTATTTATATATATTTTTTATAATCTATCTATATATTTAATACGCGAAGCAATTTTTTTTCCAGATCATCAGATCTTCACCGTTCATCTGATTTTCAAAAATTAGGTATAAAATTAAAGGGTTTGGCCTGTAGATGTGCAATAAGGTCTTATTTTTCCCAAAAGTGTTGCCACCTGTTAGAAAATGTAATTCAAATTATTTAATAACCAATGCCATTTGATCCGCACCGTTCATTCGATTTTGAAAAATGAGGTGTAAGATTAAAGGGCTTGGGCTGTAGATGTGCCGTGAGGTTTTAGCTTTTCGAAAATAGTTGCCACCCTTTCAAAAATAAGAGTTGTTCAAATTATTTAAAAAGTTAAATGAGTTATTGGAATATATTTTTTTATATATATTTAAGTAATTACAATCCAGTAGGCTGTGTTTGGTCGGAAAGGACAAGTTTCCGAGCCGCACTGACACTGGTGTTGGGATCGACTGCGTACTTCTTTCTTTTTCCGCCTGCAACAAAATACGTAATTCTTTTGTACCATTCAGCTCCTGTTTAAGCTTCGGAGAGCGAATTCTTTGCCATTCCCTTCTTAATTTGCGCTCGTTACTTATTAAGTTAAGAATGTTTGGGGTGTGGAGGCCAGGGCAGTAAGAACTGCGATGTTTAATAGAAGGATTTGGTGTTGCAATTTCTGCGGCCTCAACTATTTTATCAGTGAGAAATGTTCAGCTGCCCTGTCGATATCATTCTTGGTCCCAATAGGAATTTGCGGGTCAATGTGTGAACTGACATACTTTTTGTATTTTAACCAGTTTATGGGCTTATTAGTAAGATTTTTTGTTTTTCTTCATAATTAATAAACATTGAAAAGCGGGCCCATGCGCAGACTGCGCAGGCGGAAATACACAGTAAACTCATTCCTCTTTGTAGCCACAGATAAAAGCAGACTGTTCTAATAGTTCGCGGAAATAGTAAACAGAATTATTCTTATATAGCCGTTATTTTTATTATACATATATTACAAAGCGTGAATGAGATTTATAGTGTCCTGAGTTGAGGGAAACATGGTGTTACTTACAATATATCTTTGTATACAATATTTGAGGTGAAAATATATTCAGAATTAACTTGTTGATTAAATGTTTCTTTAACACAAACAATAATATCTGAGCTAAGGGAGCGGTGCGAGAGAGATAACTGTCAGTTTATCGAATCCTTAATTATTGAATTATGTGTGCGCCCACCACTGTCGTATACGGTGTAAGCGATGCTGCAGTCACAATAGTGCTTCAGTACAAAATACCTTTAGTGTGGCTTAACAATGGTAAATTAAAAACAAAAATAAATTTACAAATTTCTTGACATCAGAGGTGTTATGACCATTAATATTACCTAATAACCACTCAGGGGACCTCTGACTTTTTAAATGGCACCTCATTAGTGGAATTGCTTACATAGACAAGTATAAAAAGGGAGACTAACAAAAAAACACCTTAGAGAAATAATGTATAAGATAATGTTGTGAGCAGCGTTGCCGTTTAGGTCCAATTGGACCAAAATTGGTAGCTTCAGTTTCCTTTGGTAGTTTGGTTGGTTTGATGACGCTTGACAGATGCTTTTTCATAGTTCGAAAAAAACAAGTAAGAAAGTCTAAGTTCGGGCGGAGCCGAACATTAAATACCCGGCGCAGGTACTAAGTATATGATTTTCACCTTTCCGAAAGCTCCCGCTATATGGTAAGCCGGTGTGTATCAATTTTGAGTAAACTAGCGTCCTTAAATGTCGAAATATTGAAGTTTCAAGAATTTCTGAAATTTACCGTTGTATGAAAAGTGGTCGTAATTTTAATCTGATTCCAATAATTTTCGACGTTTTGCTTCTATGTGGCAAGCACAATAATCATACTGAGTTTGATACAAATTGGTAGAACGGTTACCGAGACACATATATGTGACCATAAGTGGGCGGTGCCACGCCCATTTTCCAAAATTTTAACATAAACGTATTTCTTGGTAAAGAATTGTTGCAAGCATCAATTTTGAGTAAATTAGCTTTAATATTTATCGAAGATTTCGTATTTCTCCAAATTACCGTTATATGGGAGGTAGGCGTGGTTATTGTCCGATTTTAAAAATTGTTGGCCATTTGGTATGCTGTAGTAAGACTAACAACTGTGCCAAGTTTGGAAGAAATTCGTGCAGCCGTTACCAAGATATACACATGTATCCATAAGTGGGCGTGGCTACGCCCATTTTCCAAAAATTTATAATATTCTGATTTTTCGTCTAAAAATTATTGCAAACATCAATTTTGAGTGAATAATCTTCAGTAGTTACTAAAATATAGCAGTTTTCGTATTTCTGAACATTACCGTTATATGGGAGGTAGGCGTGGTTATTGTCCGATTTTGCCCATTTTCAATACCATTCGTCCTACGCTCGAAAGAAGTGCACTTACCAAGCTACGTTAAGATATCTCAATTTTTACTCGAGTTATCGTGTGCACACACGACAGGTGACAGACAGTCACCGCTTAATCGATTTCTCTTTTCATTCTGATCATTTATGTCTACATTTCTCTATATCTATCTCGATTCGTGTTGTCTGTTACAAACAACCGTTATATGAACAAAGTTATAATACCCTTGTGCACAAGTGCGCTCGGGTATAAAAAGAAATTAAGGAAGTACCCGACGGTATCGAACACGCCACCTTCTGAAAGCTAACAAATACAAGAACGCTATTCTGCACGCTCAGCCACTGCCGCTTGAAAAACAAAAAACATTGCTTTCAAATAACGTCTTCATTTTCGAACGTTTTCCAGATACAAAAATGAACGAAAACTGTAGTCGTTTTCAATTCGTTTCTGGATACAAAAAGTTGTCAGTGAAATTTATGTTTCTCTGCTGACTGGGTTACTGGGTTTTAAAATTAAAAAATTGCTTTAAATTTTGTTCACACGTAAGAGTTGTCACAAGTATGAGTTTTCTCCCTTTTCAAAGACATGATTGATCAGCTGTTGAAATTTAACGATAAATTGCCTATCTTGGGAGAAAGATTTCAGTTTTTACTGCTAATTTGTGTAGCTAAAAAATCCGTGAATTCAAGAAATTTCGTTTTAATGATCGGACAATTTTTTGGTAGTTTGGATATTGATTTGGTAGGCATTTTGGTACATAAAAGTATGCTCAAGTGGCAACACTGGTTATGAGGCAGGGTGAATGGTCTGAAGAGAGATCAAATAAGGCTTCAGTATTAACTCGGTGTCGCGCAATACCCTTTGTTACACCAAAGTCAATAAGATCAGGTATTTTTGGGGGGTCAGATGGCCAATACGTTGGCTAACCAGTAGACAAGACGTCAAATCCTCTGTTCTGGATTACTTTATATATATTTGTACACTTTGGTGTAATCAATCTAGACCCCCAGAATGTGTGCTTGGCATTGTAGTCTCCTGCTACAATAAACTTACTGCCAAACTTTAGGAAAAAGTCATTCAATTTTTTTTCTGTTATGTTATGACCAGGGGGCAGTATATAACAGATACAGTAAGGCCACCCAAGGGGTCATCAATGTGTATTGCAGTGTTATGAATGAACTCATCACTTTGCGATTCTAATTCATAATGCTTTATTCTGTTACGAATGAGAAAAGCTGTTCCACCTCGGGCTTTACCTTATGAATGCTTAGTATCATAGAATTTGTACCCATTAATTTGAAAGTTATTAAATTGCATAAGGTGTGTTTCAGATACAAGCAAAACGTCTATATGATATCGTTCTAGGAAATTTTCTAGTTCGTTTTTATGCTGGATTATCCCATTCGCATTCCAAAAACAAATTGTTTAGATTATTCATGGTTTAGCTAAAATGGCTTGAAGTAATAGGTTTTGATTTTTAATCAAATCTTGTACCATGCTCTGCATTGCCATCATTTGCTCCTGCATAAGTTTTATAAAGTTTTTTATAGTAGTTTCTAGGTTACTACTATTCTGACCAAAAAGAGGTTGTGTCGGAGGTGTATTTTTGAGCATTTGTGCATATGAAGTAAAGTTATTAATAGTCATTGGCGCAGACATTGGCTTAGCGGGTTCTGGTAATGGTGTTTGCCTAATAGGAATATTTTTGGGAATTGTTTTCTCTTTCATTGAGATATTAACTGGACAACCTCTATAGTTAGCAGTGTGATTTCCACCGCAGTTACTGTACTTTTGGGTCCATTTTTGGTTTCACACATTCTTTAGAAGGGTGTAGATCTCCACAGAAAACACATACACCAGGTAAGGTACATTAGCGACGTGTGTGACCAAATTCCTGGCAGTAATGACATTGAACAGGGCCTCTACGCTTATGGGGTTCTTCTACGGAGATTTTACGGTGAAGAAGATATCGCAATTGATATTTTTTATGCACTTCCCCTTCCTTAAGATTGTGAAAGTCAGGTGTTAAGTCACAAGCGTTTTTATGACCGAGCGAACATATTCAATAATTTCCTTGTTACGGAATTTGTTGTTGTGGGCGGTTTCGAGTCCAGTCGATGGATTAAAATTACGATGCGTTCACTTCAATCGTTTGCAATGATCTGATTTATTGTAGGTTTATTACAACAGTTTGTACTCTCTTACGAATAAGCATAAAAGCATAAATGAAAACAACCAAATAGAGTTAGTGTTGCCTCTTGAACTATAAAAATCCCCTTTACTTAACATCCTGGCCCCCTTGAAAGGCACTTTCAAGATATAGGAAGCAGGGCCAGCTTGTGTATTAGGCGTCGGATAAGGCCTTTTGACGTACGAATGTTTACAACTCTAACCCGTCCGTCCCTTCCAGGAAAGCACTCAGTCACTCGACCCATCACCCATCGTTGTGGTAGTACATTGTCCTCATGTACAATCACCAAATCGTTCGCGTTCAGATTGGGACTCGGTTTGGTTCATTTGACACGAGTCTGCAACTCATTAATGTAGTCCAGTGACCAACGACGCCAGAAGCGCTCTTTGATGACTGTGATGCGCCGCCACTGTTCGATTTGATTGATTTCCACTCCGATGGAGGGTTGTTCGGGCAGTGATTTCAATGAGCATCCAATGAGAAGATGACCAGGACTTAATGCTTCGAAGTTACTGGGGTCTGATGATATCGGTGCAATGGGGCGTGAATTGAGAATCGCTTCAATCTCAATAAGTACTGTGGTCAATTCCTCGTATGTTAATCGTGTGTTCATTAAGGTACGGTAGAGGTGTTCCTTAGCCGACTTTACCGCAGCCTCCCAAAGGCCGCCGAAATGCGGTGCTCTGGGGGGAATAAAAGAAGAATTAATAAATTCTTGAGAGCAAAAACTTACAATTGTATGTTGAGTTTGCGAGTTAAATAAAAAATCTTTCAAATCTTGTAATTTACTGTTTGCTCCAGTGAAATTTGTCACGTTATCGCAGAATATATTGCTGGGCATACCCGTCGACCCATAAGACGTTTCAGAGCAGCTATGAAGGCATCCGCAGAAAGGTCTGACACCACTTCAATATGCACGGCTTTTGAGGATAGGCATACAAACACCGCTATATACGCCTTGTACGGAGTCTTGCCCCGTACGCGAAGATAGGTGTTGACCGGACCACACCTTAGTAAATGGTCGAGCTGGAGTAAGGCGCTCCTCCGGCAAATTACCCATTGCTTGTTGAAGTAGTTTAGGGCGATATCGGATGCAATGTATACATGAGTTGACGATCTGTCGACAAAGATTTCGAGCGTTAACGGTCCAGAAGTTACGTCGAATAAGCGCTACCAGTGCCTTAGGACCATAAGGAATGGTTTTTCTGATGTAAGTAGCGAACATAGTTACGAGTAAACGTACATTTAGTAGGCAGCAATATCGGATGTTTTTGGCCCTCCTCAATGTTTGCATTCGCTAGACGGCCACCGACCTTAAGCAAAAGAAAGCCTTCGACCTCATGCACGAAGGGGTTAAGATTCTTTAACAAACCTTGAGTACACAAGTTTTCAGTAAGCAGGCGGATTTCTTCTGCGAAAAATTGCTGCTGAACGATCCATATGACGCAGTACTGAGCAAGGAGTAATTAATCCGCAGTTAGGGAGTTTTATTCTACAGATTTATTAAGACTTTTCTTTGCTCTATGGATGAAGCGAAAGATTCGAAGTATACGCGGATAAGAACTATAGTTTTCAATTACATCGTAGACGTGGTTCGCTCTTGCAGTCTGGTGAGAGGTGGCTTTTCTCCTCTCTTTGTTAATTTCGGCATTGTCGACTTCGTTTACGGAACAAGTTGGCCAATCGCTTTCTGCCAATGAGGGAAACGCCGGGCCTGTAAACCAGCACGACGCTAAAAGTTCACTGACAGTGCATCCTCTAGACACGATGTCGGCTGGATTCTCTCGTGTTGGAACATGTCGCCAAATACAATTCGTCGTTAGGTCTTGAATCTCAGAGACGCGATTTCCCCCGAATGTTGACAACGTTGCAGAGTGTATCTTCAACCAGTGTAACACTATTTGAGAATCTGACCATAAATAGATCTTGCACTCACCTACCGACTCCTTCAGCTTGTAAAAGAGCTTAGCCAAAAGGTGTGCTCCACATAACTCCAATTGTGGTAAGGACTTCTTTTTTATAGGTGCCACTCGAGACTTCGCTGTCAGCAGCTTCACTTTGACGCCATTGTTGGTTGCAGTACGAACGTAGAAACAGCACCCATATGCACGTATGGATGAGTCACAAAAGCCGTGAAGTTCAATCGATGTTGCTTTGTACAGTTTGCAATATCTTGGTACGGATATGCAAGAAACTGTTCGAAGTTCTGCCGCTAGGTTGGACCTTGCCAAGTGTAAATTTTGAGGAAGACTCTCATCCCAGTCTAGTTTCAGGAGCCAGATTTCCTGGAGGATAATCTTTGCGATGACGATTATTGGCGTTAACAATCCAAGTGGATCGAATAAAGACGAAGCGATGGATAACACCATTCGCTTGGTTACCTTAGTAGACTTATTTTTGGGCTGAAATGCGAACAAGAACGTCTCGTTACTTTGATCCCAAGTGATGCCGAGAGCATTTGTGACTGCTGTTTCATCAAAGCTAAGATTTTTCAAAGTAGAATCGTCACGAAAGGTAGCACAGTTCGAGTGCCACTTTGCAAGCTCGAAGCAACCTTTTTCTAAAACTTGCGACACTTCGAACTGAATTTGTTTAAGTTCAGCGAATGAGTCGGATCCGCATATAAGATCGTCCACATAAAATGACGACTTAACCACCTTGGCTCCAACCGGAAATTCATATGCGTAATCGTCGGCAATGAAGTTAAGGCTACGTATGGCCAGATACGGCGCAACAGCAGTACCATACGTGACAGTGTTTAATTCGTACGTACGAATTTCCTCCTCTTCGCTGTTTCTCCACACTATGTACTGCAGGCAGCGATCTTGTCCGATTTTTATTATATCCGCAGTCAAGGCATGGCGATCTGAATCGGTCTGCATTGATAGACCAACAAACATTAGGTCGTTTAATGATTTGAGCGACGTTGTCTGGCAAGACGCATCAAACACAACGCGCAACTTTGTTGTAGTACTAGAAGGCTTCAAAATACAATGGTGAGAAATGTAGTAATGCGGTGCATTATAATTAGGGTTCTTTACTACCGACATATGCCCAAGGCTTTCGTACTCACGCATAAAGCTCACGTACTGTAATTTCAGATCAGGCTGATGCCTAAGCCGTCGTTCCGGAGCTATAAACCGTTTGAGTGCCGTAGCATGTGACAAACCAAGCCTGCTGGAATCATCTTTAAGCGGCAACCGCACTACAATTCTACCGTCAGCGTTGCGTCTTACAGTGCTAATGTACGCGTTTTCGTTCGACCACTTGCTGGCATGCCGTTCGACTTCGTACATTTTCCACAATTTTTCTAAATTTTCGTTGAGTACTTCCTCCATTGACAGAAGGCACGTACGCGGGGATGATAAGACATGCTTTGATGGTCGTTCCTTGTATTTACCGGTCACGATCCACCCGAGTAAAGTTTTTTGGACAACTGGCATGTCATCGCCCAACTTGATTTGTCCGACTGGCAAAATATCGAATAATACTTCGGCTCTAATAAGCAAGTCTATCCTACTTGTTCTGAAGAATTGCTCATCTGCAAGTTTGCTATTGGCTGGTAGATTCCATTCGGAATTTGTATGTTGGGACTTAGTTGTAGTGACTGTTTTGTAACTCGTTGAAGCCTGGACATTTCCTATGCTTAGAATCTCGACTGACTGGCGTTGACGACGTAAACGAAGCCGCTGTGAGAATTCGGTAGTTACGAAGTTCAATTGTGAGCATGAGCATGATAAAGCTCGACCAACCTGATATGACCCTGATGCATCTTTGACAAGTACAAGTGCGGTGGCACGGATGACTTGATCCTTTGGCGATTTTTCCATGTGCGTATGTGTAGCGGTCGTAGTATCAGTGCCGGTAAAATCATTTTTTGACGTGATCGTTGTAGTAACACGATGCAGGAGGCTGTGATGCTTCTTCCCGCAAACTTTATAATTATGCGTAGATGAATAGCGAGCGAGCTGATGTTTATTGGACATGCAGTTGATGCATAGCCCCAATCGCTTGACATGTTCAAATCTTTCAGCTACATCCATTGATCTGAAACGAGAGCAGTGGAGAAGTGTGTGATCCGAACTAGAACAATCGGACCAAAGCGGCAGATTTGAAAGGTCAGCTGACTCTTTCCATTTTTTTTTTGAGATTCCTCGTCAATTTTTGTAATCACCAAATGAATCAGCATGGCGTTAGCAATCTCTTTATCGGTGCAAAGCGAAGATAAAGACCCGAACAACGCCGATACTTTATCTACAATGCTACGCAACTGGTTGCATATCGAAAAGCATATTAATATTTTCCAAGAAAATCAATGAGTCATTATCGTATCGTAACCAGTCGCTCAAGTGCCTTACGGTAGTTTTCGTTCGTCACGGGAAATGCTTGAACCGTTTCGAGGGCTTGCCCCTTAAGGCAGTTGAGCAAATGGTTGAATTTCTCGATATTACTAAGACCCTTTTTTATGTTGGCAGTAAGAGCTAGTACCGTCCGAAAACACTACAGTACAGATATATCAATAAACAAGTACGAAAGAAAAGGAACACATACGTTTATAAATAAACATGTACACAACATATATAAAAAACGGCACTCAAGTACACAATCCATTGACAAAAACGGTACTAGACTGTCTCGCTTTGATTTCGGAATGCTTACACATTGAGATGTTAGCTTACTGCCAATATATTACATATATGGTAATATGTAGCGATCTACCCTAGTCTGAACAGTAGCATTTTTTGCTTGTTTTTCTTCTTCTTTGTTTGTTGCCATAGAAGTATTTGTATCGACAGCTGCGTTGTTGTCCGCATTGATCACTGCTGGAGAGCAAGAAGATGTTCTTTGCTTGGCTGCATCTTTCTTTAGCGTTGTTGTTGCTGGTTTTGCTTTTTGGCCTGGATGCAGTGATTGTCAAATATGCATTTCTTTTGCTTGCGCTTTGCATTGAGTGCCTGCGCTCCTTTAGGGGAGCGCCCTCGACACTCATCTCTCAGTTAACTACCGTTTTGTATGTAAACAATACTTTAATTATTTTAATGCACACAATGTCTTATTGTTTATTTAGTGGCTTTTTCTTTTCTACCGAAAAATGTTGCCTTCTTAGTGCCCTCTACGTAAAAATACTAAGCAGAGGGCATTGAGAAGGCAACATTTTTTGTAGAAAAGAAAACACCATAGGTATTTTTCGCGATCACGGTTTGATTTTTTATACTGCTGAGGGCAGTTCGCGACGACACAAGAAACTCCAATAATAGTTTAGTGTGTCTCTCGTTTAGTTTAGTGTGTTATTATTTACACGATAGATATGATATTTAATTAAAATATTTATATGGAATATGGGTATCAACCAAAATGGTTTGGAAAATGCTTTATTTCTTAAATACATGTACGAAGGTTTCCACCTGGTTAAAAAGTCAAACTCAATTTAAACTATGGCAATCGTAATATTTACACCATATGGGCGACAGACGTAAGAGCGTAGTAATTGAAAATATTTTGAAGTGCGTTGCAACTCTTTTGAAGGTCTAAGCGCCGGTTGCTCAAAGCCTGGTTGACACCGGTTAAACATCGTTACCGACGTTACCGACACCGTGTTATATGCATGGAGTCGGAGACGTCGAAAACAATGTTAACCGAAGGTTAGTGTCAACCAGGCTTTGAGCAACCGACCCTAATTGTGTTAACTTATACGCAAGTTATACATATAAAAATGGGTATCAAACGACTTAATTTTAAGGAAGCTTTAGTTTGAACTTTGTAATCTTTGAAGAGGGTGGCCACCATTAAACAATTTTTTGTTTATTATTTAATAAGTTAAATAAACTATTAAAAGCTGGGTATGTATTTAGGAGAGCTGCCATTGTTCAAAAAATTAAATGCAACTTAATTCATCAGTCAATTGTAATATGTGTCACAATGTAAAACGAAAGAAATTAAAAAAAAATTTAGTTTGAAACTTTTTTTAAAGATGGTTGCCATCTTTCTAATAGTCGAATTTGTTTAGCTTATACATAAGTCAAATTAGGTAATAAAATATGAGTGGCCAGTCATCTTTAGTTTGAAAATGTTATGGACTAGTGTTACCTTTAATCTGAAAAGAAATATCGATCTAACTACATATTTATTTATTTATTTGGTCTACAGAAAAATGTTTTCTTACAGACAAATGAGAATAGAACATTTAGATACATAGTAATTTATAATAATAATAATAAGGTCGATGGACACACTCCCTGATAGCCGACCTTCAAACATGGCTGAACAGACCACATGGGGAAGTCGATTTCTACCTGACGCAATTCCTCACCGGTCATGGTTACTTCCGAGAATATCTTCATAGAATGGGAAGGGTGGACTCACCGTTCTGTCACTACTGTGGAAACGTCGAATATAACGTGTACCACACATTCTTCACCTGCGAACACTTCTAGATTTCGCGCAGAATGTTGGAAGAAAGACAAGGAGACATAACTCTGAACAACATAGTTGGGGTAATGATCTCCAGCGCAGAAAAGTGGGAAGCAGTTGCGAGATAGGTGAAATTCGTACTCCGCTGCAAACGAGAGGACGGTTGTCTACTGAGGACACCCGAATGAAACGCCCCTACAAAAGAGCAGCCCCAAGGCTCTAACAGCGCGCTCCTGCATCTGAAGACATGCAGAATTGCGGTGCCAGATATGGGATTCTTGCGCGGGTGGTGGGAGTTGGGGTTTTAGTGGGTAGCCCAACACGCTTCGGTGGGAGTCCCACACTCGGGGAAGGTAGTATAGAGACTAGCGCCCCCGGCCAGTGCATAAAGCATTTCCCTCTCCTACGAAAAAAAATAAAAATAAAAAGTAATAATAATAATAAAAATATTAATAACAGCAGAAAATAGCAGGTTTTGTAGCTGGAGAGGCCTAGTCTTCAGTCTACTTTTGTGTGCGGCGGGCGCAAAGACCTAGTCTATTGCCCCGCGCTGCGGACAGGCTGTTGATCAAGGTCAGTAAGGCCGGGTCTCCGATCCATGTTCCCGAAGTCACCACCTTGAATGTTTGGCAGGCGGAAAGCTCTAGTTTCCGCTACGCTCTGTGGACAAGCTGTTCAGCATGGTCGGAAAAAACGAGTTTCCGATCCATGTTCCCGAAGTCATTACTTTGAGTGTGTGGCAGGCGGAAAGCTCTAGTTTCCGCTCCGCGCTGTCAACAAGCTGTTCATCATGGTCGGAAAGGCCGAGCTTCCGATCCATGCTCGTATTGTCTTACGCGGTCGCGAAAATATACGAATCCGATTACAGTTGTACTAAGCATTCATATTGTGTAATTTATAGTTCCCGGTTTAAGATATTAATTTATTTAGTTACAAAAAAGCGATTCACGTTTACGTTTACCTCATAAACTGAACAGAAATAAAGTTCACCAGCTGAACGATAAGGTGCAATGTAAGGGTTTACATGTTATTTATTCAAAATCTCAAGTAAGGTTTTCTTAATGGTAAAATGTGAGTCGGAGGTGTCAAAATAGTCGTAATGCTTATTAAAGTCCTGGCATAGGCAACGAAAAGCATCATGCATTTCAAAATTTGTTCTACAAATAGTTAGCTTAATGGGCTTGTAATGTCTAGAAGGCCTAGAAGGTATACAAAACGTGATCTGGTTCAGTAGAAAGGGACTATTGACCATCCCGTTCAAGATCTTAATCATGAACAAAACCCCGAGCATCTCTCTACGGCTGTGCAGCGTTGGCAAATTTATGAGCTTCAAGCGGCTTTTGTACGGTGGGAGATTTAATGTCGAATCCCAAGGCAAATTATTTAATGCGAATAATAAGAATTGTTTCTGTACTGACTCGAGTCTGTCAGAATGCGTTTGATATCTAGGATTCCATACGACGGACCCGTATTCTAAGATCGGCCTATCTAGGGAGGTGAAGAGAGCTTTAGTGACATAAGTATCTCTGAATTCTTTAGCCCAACGTTTGATGAAAGCCAAGACGCCCTTGGCTCTATTAACACAAGAGTTTACATGCGACTTGAATTCAAGCTTAGAGTCCATGGTTACGCCTAGGTCGATGAAATTAGTTACCTGATCAACACTATGTTCACAAATGCGGTAGCTATACGAGTGAAAGTGTTTTCTAGAGAAACACATAAAAAGTGTTCAAGTTAAGTGACATATAATTTACTTCGCACCATTACTAAGGTCCACCTGTAATTGTTTCCTGTCTCCTGGGGCACCAATGAACTTAAATAACTTAACGTCGTCTGCGTAGATTAAGCAATTCGAATACTTCAAAATATTTGGAAGATCGTTGATGAATAAAATAAACAGAAGGGGACCAAGGTGGCTACCTTGAGATACACCTGACGTCACATGAATTACACGAGATGAACATTTTTTAAGGATAACCCTCTGTTTCCTGCCAATGAAATAAGAAGAAAGCCAGCGCAGCAGGATTGGAGGGAAACCAATTTTATCAAGTTTGTATATTAGAGTTGAATCCTTGCTGAAATCAGTGTAAATGACGTCAGTTTGATATTTACTTTTGAAACCATTGTTCACATTTCTAGTGAATTCAAGAAGGTTTGATACAGTTGATTTACCTTTACAAAAGCCCTGTTGTGATACATCGATAACGGGTGTCATGGAATAAGATAGTTCTTCCGTAACGATTTCTTCAAATAATTTAGGAATGGCACACAGCTTAGCGATTCCCCTATAATTCGCAATATTCGACCTGCTTCCATTTTTATAAAGCGGCAAGATATATGACTCCTTCCACAAAGTGGGGAAAACTCCTTGCTTTAGAGAAGCATTCAAGATGTTTGTTAATGGCTTATATAGATAATCAGCACAACTTATTAGGACACAGGAGGGAATACCATCCGGGCCGCTAGAAAAGAATTGTTTAAACTATTAAAAGGAAGTAGAACATTGTCAGCGGAGATTGAAGGAATACGGATGTGGTCAAACTGTGGGAGTGGAAAAGGATAGCTAGAAGTTTTTTCATTTGGCTTGACAGTATAGTTCGATTCAAAATAATTTGCAAACATATCAGCAATC